GTTTCATGTGCAATGTTATCTAGCTGCAGACCAGTGCCAAAACAGGAATTTGGACTGTGGTATTAGAGATTTCTCTTCTTTCTCTTCCCTCCCCATAGACATCTAATGATGGTATCATCTACAGCTAAACAAGGGATGCTCTACAAGATCCAAGCTACATGGGAGCTCAACAGAGACTAAATGAGGAAGGGCAATTTTTATACCACTCTTGTGAAACATTCAGTGAGTTCTGAAATAGCACTGGCAGGCCTCACAGGAGCAAGGACCAGTTTAAAATTGAACTTGAGTTTACTAAACAGTCATGAACTGGAGCCTCAAGTACTATTTATTTTCAGAAGCTATTTTTATCAGAAAATCCCCAGCTCCTGTAATGTTCTTCTGCTCTGCCTGCGTCCCTCTCCTGCACCTGCCATTGAATAGCACTTACCAAACACTGTGCTCCTTGGGACCAAATTAACATTTTAATATTTTTTTTCTTAACATAAGGAAACCTTAGCATAAGGTTATACACACTGAAACCAGAATGTGTTATTCAGGGAAAGCAAGTGACTTTCTGGGAAGAGGAGGGGGTGGAAGGGTAGAATCACCTGATTGCATCAGTAATACATATAGCTCTTTTTCACATTCCCTCTTCTCATCTCCCATGAAACTGCCTACAGCTGTGTTCTCTCAACCTGCGGTCTGAAAGACATTAAAAACCAGACTGCAAGAGGACTACACTTTTTAAGAAGTCACTCCCACACATGTAAGCAAGAAAGGAAATTAGAAAAGTGTCTTAGAAAAATGCCCCCTTCCCTCCCAACATTCAACTGTTCATACTCAGTTCTAAACAGCAGTCATCATGGTGCTGCCAAGGGAGGTAGTGCCAAATAGGTTAAATAGTTCAGTGATTCCATTCTTTGGAATAACAGAAGGTGAGACATACTGATCTAGTTTGATAAAATCCTACAAATCCCTTATACCTTGATAAAGTAAGCCACTGCTGAGAACTTAAAGTGAACTACTTTTATACTACTATGTCAAATATCACCTTCAACAGGGCATTTCATGCCTTGGAGGTCCTTACTCTTTTACTAGTGAACAGACTGTTGGAGCCTGAAGACAGTCTGAAAAGTATTAATGAACTTGCAATCACAGATTCAGCTCTTGGAGCAAATGAAATTTTAAGCAGCAAATTCCATTCTAGCTGCCAACTCTTATTTCATGGGCTGGATCAAGTTCATGTTAAAGACATTGGGATTAAAGAGTTTCTCCAGCTCATGACCATCTCGGTTTGATACAAGATCAAAGGTTTGCAAAGCATACTTAAAAAAAAAAAAAACACCCGATTTGTCTCCATTTAATGTGTAATACTGCTAGCACAAATAACATTATCTGAGGTGTCCATCCCTGGGAAGTTAATGACATGTGGAAGATACACCTTTTCTCAACTTGCTTGGTTGCTGCTGTATCAATCCACAGACACATTCCTTACACAATTATAATGCTCTGTGGGTTTTTGTAGTAAAATGCAAACTTCCACATTACAGAAGTCATTGATCACTCCTTCAATTTCATTTTTCCACAGTGCTTCTGATGAAGAAAGCTGATGTGAAACAACAGACTCAGATTTCCCTCAAATCTCCTCAAATGCACATTGAATATTTGACAATGACCACTTCTCTATTTTCCTCCACACGGCTCCATCAGAGAGAACCCTCTATGCATTCAGAGCAGCACAATGGATAATGATTTCCAAAGCATTAACTTGGAGCCATTGAGACTTGGATGTTTTCAAAATGCATCTATTGTGCACAAAGGATTCTAGACTACCCCAGCTACTCTAGAAGAGTCTTTTTTTGCCTTTCTCAAAACATCCATCCCTTGAGCCATCCCTGGAGTGCATTGTTGGGGCTGATTCCTTAGTGCAGCAAGTTCCATCAGTCAAAGCTCAACAGATACAAATAATATCAGGATATGGATATAAATTAGTGAGACAGACCCTAAATAGTTTTGACAGGTTTACTAAGTATATATAGCGACACAGAATGCTATTCCTGCTGTCAGACATCAATATGTAGACAGAAGATTGGGGGCACCATGGAAACTCGGTGACATAAGAGTGGTATTGATTGGACAGAAAATGAGGCTGCAATTTAAGCTTAAAGCTGCCAGAGATGCCAAGAATGGAGAATGACCTCCAGCAGTGAATTTTCAGCATAAGCTCCCTGTGAACAAACCAGTCCAAGAAGGATAAATCAGGGACAAGCTCACCAGGGATATGGGTCGACCAAATGCAGGCTACCCTAAGCAGACAAGAATCACTGTGTGTGTGTGTTACAGTGACCTAGTTCATTCAAAGACAGCATTTTAAATAGTTTATTATAAAGAAGCTCGAAACAAAGAGACTTCCTCAATTAAAGTCCTGAAATGAATCCTCTAAATGAAAATGCTTTTGATACACTGATCAGCAAGCGGTTGTAAATATCAAAGCAAAGCTTACATTGTTAAATACCAGTTCCCACAGAAAACAGCGCTGTTGGAGTATAGGTTATGAGGAGGTCTGAACAGAGCGCTAAGTTTCATGAGCAACACCCATTACAACCCTAATGCCTCAGTGCCCCACTGGTACACTTGATAATCCTATCTTCCCTGCTGCAAAATGCAATAGAGTATGTGGTGAAAGAGTGCATTTTCAGAACTCCTGGGAAAAAAAAAAAAAAAAAAAAAAGGAAAAAAAAAACGCCTATTTTTAATTATTTTCTGAGGATTCAGGACTACCTGTTCCTAGTATGAGAAAGAAGAAACAGAGGACATGATGGGGAGGTACCTTGCTGGAGCCATGACCACTGAAAGGCAGCTACGGAACAACGTTCACACCAGCAAGAGAGGGATGAATCTACACAAAACATCGATCAGTACAGGATCCTCCTTAGTGCCAGTATGGGTATACAGGAATATGGCAGTGGGATCACACCATGGTCATGGTTTGTATTACTTTAGTAAAACCAACCTTCTGCTGGCAAGGATGTATCATCTACAGACTGTATCTCAAATAACGGTGATAGACATCTGGATAATTGTAAAAGTCTGCTTTTGGTAGGCAACTTCTATGCTATAAACAAAGACTTACCCATTTGTAAAAGAAAGATTTGTTGCTGGCTTCTCTTTTTTTTTTTTTTCCCCCATCGAAGAGCTTGCTTTGCAGCATGCTAAAGTCAGTAAGTTTCTGTCCTTCAATTTCATCCAAAGGTTTGTAAATAATAAGTCAAAGTGTTTAGCTTAGACTGGAGACAGGGGTATATTAAACCTTGCCATTTCCTTTCTCTTTAGGGAAAGTTACTAAATTGCACAGCAGGGTTTGTTTGCTTTTTTTTTTTCCTGTTCTATTTTTTTTCTTCTCTTCCCCCCACACCCCATTTTGTTCTCTCCAATGAAATACCTTATCCATTCACTTCCAAATTTTTATTACCATAACAAATTAATATTTCTTGTCACAGATATGCAGGTTCCTTTATCCCTTCAGACCTCATTATTTTTAAAAGCTCTTTTTTCTTTGCAGGGAAAAGATAGAAATACATAGCCAAAAAAAAAAAAAAAAAAAAAAAAAAAAAAAAAAAAAAAAGAAAACCTTTGCTTTGTAGGTCAGCTCAAGTCCACTGTCTGGAAAATGTTAAGGACAGGTATTTCTTCCTAGTGACTTTTCTCATACCCTTCCCTTCTCTCGCTGTTCCTTCTCTCCACCTCCCTAATACAACCACAGTTACACACTTAGTCATTTCCTTGACAAAAACATTCAACTTTGCTAGAAGGATAGAACAATCATGGCCAAAGAAAGAAGAGAGTTCAAGAGTCAATGAGCCACAGGTAAAGAGTTCTTCCACTGTACTACAAGCCATTTAGAGCAAGTAGGATCTAATTAAAGCACCCACTGCTATCCATAGCAGCAGGGTTATCTCACAGAGAAGGACTTAACACGTTGCAAACATTTCCACAATGCTTCTAAGAACCAGCTAGTCTAGGACTGACATCTTATAATCCAGCTTCAGAGTTTCACTAAGCTAATGCACAGCAGACATTCACTACCAAAGCGGACCGCTTGCCGTGTGGAAGAGAGGTGTGTGACGGCCAGCTAGAACATGTAAAAGGAGCAGAGGAGCTCCCAAAGAACTGATTTTTCCCTTTTCAAAGTTTGCCTTTTCCCTATGCAAAGCTCTACTTTTAAAAGGGAGAGGATGAAGGAGGGCAAGGAGTGAGAAGCATCAGTGTTGGAGACCACAACACATTTGCAGAATAGCCTGTATGCTCAATAGGAGAAAACTGTATTTTCACCATTGTTAACCCAGATTTTCTCCCAACCCACCCTTCCAGAGGAAATGCAAGACATAAACTGACAAGAGCAGTTTTAAGTAAATCAGCACTTGCTAGAGTCAGTTGTTTCGCCAACATCAAAGTACAGACAAGAAAGCTAAGTCCCAGGGGAAAAAAAAAAAAAAAAAAAAAAAAAAGTATATATATAAAATATATAAACGTATGTATAATATGTAAATGTATGTATCAGTTAAAGTGCTCAGTCTGAAGGTACAATTTAACCTCACTTATCAGGAGTCTCAGCCGGGACACTCCTGGCACAGGGCACCTGAGACCTGCAGGAGTTTCGCCACCCTGGGGTCCCCGCTGCCCTCTCGTCCTCACAAAGCGGATCAGCCCGAGGACTCTGCTTTCCCTTCCCCGCCGTGCCACGTCCCCCATCACCACCACCAGCACCCCTCTCCCCCTGCCACGGCTCTTGCCGCTCCCCGACACCCCGGGTTACCCACACCCCGAGCGGAGCTGCTGGTGGGCAGCCCCAGACCTGGGGCAGGTGCCTGTGGGGCCACAGGTGTTCCCCACCACCAGCACCACCACCACCGGCCGCTCTCCTCAGCACCTCCGAGGACCGGGGGGGACCCGATGCGGTGCTGGGGTGCGAGACCCCGGAGCCGAGAGGGGGTCGCGCCTCCCAGCCCCTGCTTACTTACTTGGGGCGGAGAGAGGCTCTTCTCCCGCAGCTGAGAGGGGCGAGCCGCGGGTGTCCCCGGTGCGGAGCTGCTGGTGGTGGTGGTGGTGGTGGTGGTGGTGGTGGTGCTGCTGGTGTCGCAGCGCGTCCCTTCGCTTCCCCACGGACGGGCTCGCCTTCTTCTCTTCCTCCTCCTCCTCACGCCCCGCCGCTCTCTCCGGCCGGGGGATTTCTTCCCGAGATTTTTATACCGGAGGCAGGGAACCTGATCCTCCGCGCTTTGACTCGACAGAGCCCGGGCTGCGGCGAGCCGGCGAGAGGAGGGAGGCGAGGCGGGCGCCGGGGCAGAGCGAGCGGCCGCGCTGCCCCCTCGTGTGATGCGGCGGGGGCGCCGCCGGGAGGGTCACCCGCGGGGCAGCCTCGCCCCCGCCGCCGGGGGAGGGATGGAGGGAGGGGGCCGGGGGCGGGACGGGGCCGCTCCGCCCGAGGATGGGGCTCCGGGGGGCTCCCGGGGTGCCCCCCGCCGCCGGGGGGGCTGGAGGGGCGCGGGGCCCCCGTCTGAGCCGGTGCCGGGCTTTGCAGGGCGGTCCCCCCCCCCCCCCCCCCCCGCGACAACTTTTGTCGGGGTGTTTCAACGCTTCTGGTTGTGGTGCTTTGCTGGAGTTGTGTCAAGGCTCTTATTTAGGCTTTTCCAGCTTTTGGGTTCATTACATCCATTGAAAAAGAATGTTCCCCAAGCCACAGCTTAATTTAAAACGAAGTGGACTTGTTCCAAAGTCCAGGCAATTTCTGCCTAATTCCTGATCCCCAGAGCAAGTCTCCGTCTTGATTGGAAAGACTGAGCCCATTGACTGCTTGGGTCTCGGCTGGGGTTGCAGCTTGTGGCTCCTGCTCCAGGTTTGCACAGAAATCCAGTTCAGATTCTTCTCCTGTTTCCAGAGGAATGAGCTAAAAAAGTAATTTGTCTGGCACCGTACACATTGCATCATCTAACACCTACCATCTGTGACAATGGAAAGCACTGTGCGGCTAGTCCCAGCGTGGGCAATTGCACCCACCTGGAGTCTTTCTTCGTAAAGTAAACTACTCCCTTCCATCCACACCTTGGCATCTTCTTTTCATCACAGAGTTATGTGTTTAGTCCTGGCATGGCTGTTAAGGATTTGCACGACGGGCAGATTTAATGACAGTGATGTAAGTTAAAACAACAACTTTGGTTTGCAGTATAAAGCGGTGGCTTGAGACGGAGAGAATATTCTTTCTAGCAGCCAGCTGAGTGGAAATGAGCACTCTATAGTACACTTTGTCTTCATGTTTCAGCGTGTGTGAAGCTGAACGAATCCTTGACAGCTACCTTGCACCTTCCTGGGGGCTTCTTAATGAAATCCTGGCATGCTAAGCACTATGTACATCTAGAGAAAGACGCTTCCCATCAAGAAGCACCTGGTGGTGGCTGACACTTTAAGCCTTCAGTGGGTCTCCATCCAACCACAATAGCACATTTCAGATGGTCAACCGTGTCTGAGTAGCAACAAGAAAGTAGGGAAGAAGACAAAGTCTGACCTGAAAATTCACCTTGATTAAGACCAAAGCATTGCACCAAAGTGAGTCAAGAGATTTCTTCACAGAAATCATCTTACAGAAATCTGAGTCTTAGTTAAAGACTGAAATTTTCATTTTCCACTTCTCAACAAACAATAGAAACTTTCTGCAGAAAGCAAACATTTTTCACGTGAAATGCGTATGATCTCAGAAGCATAATTTGTCCATTGAATTTTAGAAGCATTAGCAATCTTTGGCCAAACCTGCTTGCAGCTTTTCTCCATGCCTAGTTTTCCATAGCTCAGAAATTAATTTTCTGATGCTAAGTTTACATGCACTGAAATTAGTTTTGTGTGATACGGCTTGGCTCTTGATTCAAAGGCTATACTAAAACTGCAGATGAGATTAACACAGCTGCTCAGGAAACAAATGGTCTGAGGCACCTAAGAATGAAAATGAAAGTATCTTGGTCTTTGATCAACACAGTAAAATGTCTTTTAATATTAGTATTATTTCTGTCTCAATAGCACCTTGAGGCTTAACCAAAGTTTCCAATGCAATAAGCACTGTCCAGATGTAGAAAGATATTCTTTACCCTAAACTGCCCAATGTTTGATGCCTTTGAAACTAATGGAGTACAACACTTGAATTTCGTACTGAACCTTTGCTATTGAGAGAGAACTTGTGAAGACAAGGAGGTGAGACTGTTGGTCAAGACAACAGTCTTGGAAAGATCGACGTATCTTCTTTTGCCAAGAAAAAAACATCGACTCTATGTCGACTCACTGCCTCAAAGGTGCCTGTTCTGCTGGTTCCCAGTGGAAAAGAACAGGAGAGCATGAAGGGACTGATAGAAGACAAGTTATGGCTATTCAATTGCCACAGGGATATTTTCCTTATTGAAAGAACTGTGAAGTTGGATAGGTTTACCTCAAGAAGTTCTCTGCTGTTTTGTCATTCCTTTCTTTTTTTTTCTTTTTTTTTTTTTTTTCCAGCCAGGGCTTTTTCCTACATGATCTTTGAACAGCCTAATCTAAGCTTCTTGTAATGTACAGAAAAATCCATACAGAAAATAATTGTCTTTTATTATTATTTTCCTGGTCTGGATGCACAGATAACCTAGAAAGGAGAACTGCTTGCAGACTGTAAGTGTCTTTAACATCCTCAATGTTTGTTTACAGCTGCTGGTTCAGAAACAGCGAAAAATAAGTGAAGAATGGATTAGCAGCTGTGGAAGTCAAACAAGCACTTTCATGTATCCACTTTGCTTCCCAAAACTACAGCCTAATGAGCTGAATTTCCTTTGAAAAAGGAACGATGAGGGCTAAGAGTATAAGAAGTTATAGAAGGACTTCTTATTCATGCCACATGTAAGTGCTCTTGTAAGCAATCCAAAAGTATTGGATCCCAAATATTTCTATCTGTAAATATTCAAGGCTGTTTGGGGGAAAGAAGCTCACTCACAACATGAGATGTGATTTGTGCCAAGATTTAGAAAGATCCTCATAATAAATTTCCTCTTACTGAGTTTTTGTTGTTGTTGTTTATTTTTTCTTCCTTTGCAAAGTAGTAAACAATTTTATCATCTGAAACTTGTGTTTTGTTTTGTTTTCTGTACTTTCAGTCAATCATTTCACCAGCAACCTGAAGGAGATACTTGGATCTTGTCACCTTCTAACAGGAGTTTAGCACTTCTTTTCTAAGATGACCTTGAAAAATTCTGACTCCAAACCTACAAAGTCAGTAATTTTCTTCCAAGAAGTGCTTCACTGGTTTTGGTCCCACAGCTGAGTAGAAGGAGGCTGCGCTTTTCAAAAAGCAAACAAAACCACTTGTGCACCAGTTAAAAGGTCAGCTTGGCCTGAGCTTGCTTTGTTTGTTTCACAAACACTGTAAGTATCAATTTCTTTCTCCAGTCCTCTCTAGCCATCAGCAACAGCAGCTCCAGGAAGATGTAATGTGATTCCAGGAAAACAAAATAGAGAACTTGAGAACAGCTTAAAGATTTTTTCACCTTTTGCTCTACTGTTGTTCCCAAGCTATTGAGCTGCCAAACTCTGGCAACTGAGTGCCCCGCATCCCTATTCCTCCGCTAAGATCAGATTTCCATTAGTGATACTGAATTATTTAGTGAATGCATCAAACATGGAAATCAACCACTTCTGAGCTGTGTTCCTTCTCACTCCATCTTTCATTTCAAGTCCACACAATGGCAGGCTTATTGTCACAGGGACTATCAACCCTATAATTAGAGTGGAAAAATCCATGGAGTTCAAAAATAATAATTCATACCTCATTCTCTTGTATAAGTTCTCTAGTATATTAAAAATCAGTTTTCCCAGATGTATGCAGAAGAAGGCAAACAGAGAGCGCGAACCCAGAAGAGTTATTTTTTTCATACACATATGCTAAAATCTTCAGATATTTTAAAATAATAAGTCACTGTCCCAGGACTTGGTCTTATGCTTCAGTCACCAAACCATGAATACATGTTGCAACTTTACACATTTGACTGATTCTATTTTCTACAATGGGATTAAAGCTCTTGTGCTCAAAATTATTCATGTGCATACATCTGCATGTTGCAGTTTGAAACCCACAAACATAATGCAACACAGCAGGCCTTTCCAGACCCCAGCATTTAAAAGAATGCCATTCGTATGTTGGCTCCTCTCACTATTTTCTTCTTTTGTGTTGGCAGTCCTGGGAATGGAAGTCCTACATATCCAGGATTTGAAATCTATTAGATAGATAGATAGATAGATAGATAGATAGATAGATAGATAGATAGAAATATAATCATAGCTCTGATAAAGACATTGATGCTATGAGTAGATAGACTACCACTTTTTCTTTCTTCCCCTGTTTAAATGAACATGTTCATTCTAATTAGTTTTACAGCTTGGGGAGAAGTATAAAATATAACAAAATGGCATTTTATTTTGAAGGGCTGAATAAAAGCTACTTTTTATTTTTTTTTCTTTGTCACTGTATTTGTATAAAAAAAAAAGCACTACTATAATCATTTGCCTATAAGCTCAGATATAACATGCAACCATTTTCCAGTTAAAAGTAAAACTACGTTAATCAAATTTTGATATACAAAATCAGTACCATTTCATTCAATGTTTATACAATTTAAAGTAATGTTTCTTAATATATTCCTTTAAAAATTAATTAGTCCTTCTGTGGGGAGATACCATTAGGCGTGCCCTGAATTTACAACTCTGAGCTGAATGTATGAACAAAGAAGAATTTCTGCTTACAAAAATATTCTCTTACCTTTTAAAATGATTTGTTTGTCAATTTGTAAAGGGTTCACCTGTGTAATTATGATTATGCTAAACTTCACATTTAAAGACTTAAGTGGTTTTGAAAAGTTTTCCTTACGTGTAATCAAATGATGAGATGTTCTCCTTCAGTGCAAGTGTTGAACAGACAGCTAAGTCCTTGATTATGAATTTTAGTGAAATCACAGCAGTAAAAAAGGAACACTGAGAATTTCATATTGACAACTAATAATCAAACATGCTCAGAAATACCATTATCAAGACTGGTTTATAGCTGGTGTGTTTATTCTGCCACAAATATCTTACAAGGCTATAGTGGTTCAGCCTCAGTTCATAATTTAGCTTATCAGCTCACTATTTCAGAGAATATAGTAAAAGCTTGCATATATTATCTGAGATTTTTGTCTTCAGTTTAGCTAGTAGCACTCACTGGAGTAAAGTCAAGCCTGTCCAGACTGAAACTAGCAGTTGTTAAGTAGCAGCAGCTCATCCATAAAGTAGGACATAATAAAAATGGGGCCCTAAAAATGGTCGCTGCTGAGGATGATGGGGTCGCAAAGCTATTCAAG